TGGTCTACGTACCACAGTTTGAGAACCACTGCTGTAAAATATATCTCCGCACGAACACATTTTAGTTGTTAAAATCAGACAACTTTTAAATAAAAACACATGTCTTAGACATTTTTTCACCAAACATCACACACATGGTTTTGTTGTCAACACTAACGACGGATGTTGAGCTGTGACTCTGAGGGGTCTGTTGTTAGTTAGTCTGTTCTGCTGAGGTCACGTCATCTCAGACCACATGCTCTGACTCTGGTCACTGTCGCTCGTCCTCCTGGAGGAAGTTCACGAGAACCAGTTTAATTAAGACAGAGATTCTGATGATGGTCTGACACAGCCGTGGGGTATTTCAGTCCGACACTAAGTCAACAACGGAGAATGACAGCTTGGCATGCTATCACATACCAATGTGAGGGACGGAGAGTTTATCAGGGAAACAGCCGTGGCTCCGTGCATGTGTCCACGCTGCAGTCAAACACTCATTAAAGTTTACTGTGTTTCCACTAGATTTGTTATGTCAATATATAAATTTCCATTTGTTAATAATGATCTTGTACAAATAGAGATATATGCAAAAACCTGCAGAGTACTTGGAGTATAATTCACTAATAATGATAAATAAACAAACTCAAAACCAAACATTGTTAGCAGCAGGAGAGCAGGGGTTTAGAGTGCACTACATGACAGGAAGTGAACTTTCTATTTCCTTTAAGATGAAACTGTAATCGTTCTTTCCAGAGGAATTCTTCTGTTCTGGAACACGTCTGTGTTCTGTCTGTGATGGTTGTTTAAAGTCCTTGTTTTTTTCAGTTTGTCAGTTATTAGTGAACTGGAACCAAACATTGATTTTGAAAACATCAGTCCAGAGCTGTTTTCGTCCCAAAATGCATCTCTCCAGATAACTGTGCCCTTTAAGACCTCATCATAATGAGTGTCTGTTCCACTGCATGTGGAAATGCATTCATATACAGGTACCACAGGTGGCAGTGTACCACAGTTTGAGAACCCCTGATCTGGATTTTTTTTTTTTTTTTAAATTCTCCTGCTGTCGTGCGCGAAGCTCACCTCGGTGTCATATTGGTGAGACTGCGATGTGCAAACAACGGCCTCTGTGGACCGTGAACCAGATCTACAGTCTCGTCTTGATGCATGGAAACTCAAATATGTCCAGTATGTTGGATGATCTCTGACCAGGGCAGTCACTCTGACGTTACACTGGATTTACTTTACTTTTACTTTTACTTTTCGACAGTAACTTATCGTTTGCTGACCCCGTCTTTTCATTTGTCTGCTCTCAGAGTGGAAGCCGGCGGTTGACGTCGCAGCGTTCCACTGTATGGGAGAAGAGAACGTACGAGTCTGCGCCGCCTACAACGTCACAGGGTTTCCAACTGTTAAGGTAACAGTCGTACAAACAAACAAAAAGAACCTTGAAGTTTTAATGACCAGTTATTTGGGGTATTTCTTCAGTTGGGTCTCTGAGGGTCTCCTGGTGCAGGGATTTATTTTTTAAATCTCTCCTGAGTTGATTGGACAGATGTATTTTCCATGAATGCTGGTCTTCCTAGATTCACCGTTTGTCATGTAGCATGAATGCTGGTCTTAAAATATTTTCATTTCCATGATTTGAGACGCCGCCATTTCCTCTTCCTAGATTCACCGTTTGTCATGTAGAAAAAAGCAGAGGTGTGGAACGTGTGCCCAGTCAGAGGTTACCTGGTAACAGCACTTCAGAGGAAGGATGAATATTATTTACATTTTATTGATGATCAGGGATAAAAGGCGTTACATTTTGAAAAATGACCAGACTCTCTGTGAATCACAAACACCTTCTCACACATGTCAACATAAAGAAGCTTCTGTAATGAACAGGTTTATCACACAGTGTGTATATATATATATACACACATATATATAGCAACAACTATTTTTTTTATATAATTTTGTTTCATTAACTTTATAGAACTTTGTTTTTACTTTGACATTAAAAAGTTTGCTGAAGTGACGGGCGCGTCACTTCAGCAAACACCAGTTTTTCTGTCTGCTCCACTGCTGGTCTCTCATGACTGACATTTATGACACTTTAATTCCAGTCTTGGCAAAGTCATTCTCCAATCTGTTTTCTTTTATTGCTCTTAAACAAATTTAGGTGCAGCTGGTTTATAACGCAGGTTTGGCAACACGTTAGAGGTTCCTGTTACCAGTTACACTAAATAGGTTTTACTACAGAGACAGGTGACTCCAAGTCAATAGGTAACTCAGTCAAATAATGTAAAAAAGTGTTGTTTTTTCAGGTTAGATTTGGAAAATCCCAAACCCTTAGAATGTGTTTTTAATCCAACTGGTTCCAGTCGGTCATGCTGGGATTTGTCGGATTTGTCCATGCAACATTAAGCTGCAGTTCTAGAAAACCGGTCTGGTTGGTTATCTGATTAGTCAGCAGACGTTTGAGTCCAGGTCTCTCAGGTCTTCTTCTCTTTTTTTTTTTCACTGAAACAAAGATGTCCCTCTGTTAGAACGTAACATCTGCAACTCATTTTAACCAGGAAGGATGTAGAGGTCGAGTCAGGCTGGAGCTGTTACAGCCCCCCAAACCCCTCCCCTTTATTATTGTATGAATCATATTTTTTCTTCCCTTTCTGACAGACCCTCCTCTTTGTTTTCCTTTCACAGTTCTTCCACGCCTACTCCACGCCGGACGCCGTAGGAGTGGCTTTCAAAGGTGAACAGACGACACTCAACAGACCTCAGAGAACGTGTAGCTTCATCAGGCATCAGTTCGCAGCAGCGTCACGCACACACACACACACACACACACACACACATTCAAAGAAACATGAAGTACGCCGCTGTACTGAACATCAGACGTTCCAGAAACATGAAGTAGGCCGCTGTACTGAACATCAGACGTTCCACTTACACATGGCAGTGGTTTGTGTACTTGTTTAGACACTCACTGGAGTGTTGTATCATTTGACCCCAGGTCATGACGTCACGAGTCTCCGTCGGAGAATTATAGACAAACTGGAGACCCATAAAGAGCC